AATAAAAATACTTAGCATTCAAGTTAACCATTTTTTTCCTTCAGTGCAGATTTTTTGTCTTCAAGTGCACATTTTTATGCCTTCAAGTGCATGTTCCTTTGCTTTCAAGTGCACAATCTAGGCAACATTTGTTATATCTTGTGCATTCTTTTCAATAATATATAACTAAATTTCTAATGAAATTTATGAGATTTACAAACAATTTGTATGGGTAATTGGTTTAATAACACTTTAAAAGTTTGTTCCTTTGGTTTTCAAAAAAAAAAAATAATAACACTTAAGTTGCATAACCTCCCCATTTTGTACCATACATTGCATCAATTGCACATTTATTTGCCTTCGAGTGCAATTTTTTTTGCCAAGTCCACATTTTTGTATCTTCAAGTGCATGATTTTGAGTTTTCAAGTGCACATTTCGTATATAATTTATTTTAAGAGATTTATTGATCAAGGCTCACCGCATTTTCGCACGGGAAGTGACATGCGCACCTGATCCTAAACATACACACACACCCACACATATAGGATTTGGATCAGGTGCGAAGGTAACTTCCGGTGCGAAAATACGGATAAGCATGATCAATGACTCTTTAAAAAGAAATTCTATACGAAACGTGAACTTGAAAGTTCAAAACCATGCACTTGAAGGCACAAATATGTGCATTTGAAGACCAAAATTTTGCACAAACATGATTAGGGAACTGAGAATCAATATATCCAGGTGACTGACGCATATAGACAGTTTCAGTCAGATTACCATTTAGAAAGCATTATGAACATCAAGTTGTCTAATAACCCAACCAGAGGGTAAAGCCAAAGATAAAAGTAACCTAACAGTAGTGGGCTTTACCACTGGACTTAATGTATCAAATTAAAAAAATCCTGTCCAGGAACCAGATTGAACCCTTTTGCTACTAATCTTGCCTTGTGTCTTTCAATTGAACCATCAGTCTTTCGTTTAGTACGAAAGATCCATTAGATGAAAGAATTGGGGCATTAGTGTAAACTAAATCAAGAATGTCAAAATTAGAGGACTCAACACGTGGCAAAGGAAAATGCACAGAATTGACACTGAACATCAATTCTTCTCGAAGACATCAATTGGGAAGCAAATACGGAATTTGATTTTCGTGGTGAATGTGTTGATCCACATGGTGTTTGTGTGGCAAACTGGCAAATACTTTCATGAATTTTGAATGTCGATTCATTCTCAAACAATCTTATGGAATTTCTTTCTCTAATGCACTTCACAATTCAAATTTGGTGCTGCCCATCACCTCCAGAATGGTCCACTCGCAGACTTTGCACTTAATGTGCACAAATGATATTGGAAACAAAGTTGCTGCTTCGAAGCACAAACTGGAGCAGGCGCCGCCGGAAAATGGGCACGGAGGAATCGAATTGTTAACAGAGGGGAGTTATACTCTAGAAAAACCCTAGCTAATTGATACCAGATGAGAACAGAATGAACTGTATATAGTGAGGGAGTCATAGGAAAATTAGGATAGAGAGTAATAATTTAACTCAAATACATAAAGTCCTAATAATATATCATGACAATTTTCATGGAACACACAAGTTTGGTGAATATTAACGATAATGATCTCTCGAAAGTATAATGTGAATATCATTTCTATATAGTTCTGATTCTAAGAACTTTAATTCTGATTATTTGAATTTCATTTTTCTAATTCTGATTCTAAGAACTTTTGCTATGAAAGTATATTGTGAATATCATTTCTCTAATTCTGATTCTAAGAACTTTTGCTATGAGTGTATTCTGTAATCATTAGTTTCTTAAATGTTATAGGGACTTGTTAGTGTGATTCAAGAATAGCTACCTGATGCTGAACATAGGAATTGTGCAAAACATGTTTATGTAAATTAGAGCAAGAAGTGTAGAGTCAAAGTAATGAAGAGTATTTCTGGATGTATGTGAAGGCAACAACTGAAGAGCAGTTTAAAGTTATGGTTGAGCAATTGGGGAAAAAAGATCCAGAAGCATAAGCTCATTTGGCCAACTATCCTACCAAATTTTGGTCAAAGGCATTTATGAGAACAGAAGTTAAATGTGATGTTTTTGATAATAATATGTGTGAGGCATTTAGTGGAACAATAATCAAATCAAGACCCAAACCAATCAAGATGTTAGAAGACATTAGGATGAGTACAATGACAAGAGTTGCAAGATGTAGCAAAGTATTGAAAAAGGGCATGACAACTTTGGACCTAACATTATTAAGAAGCTAAATGATAATATACTTGAGAGTGTTGGGTAATATGTAGATTTCAATAGAGATGATGGGTACGAGATCAAGAAAGGAAGACAACAATTAAGGTGAAGTTAGAAGGAAGGAGTTGCTCTTGTAGATCTTGAGATCTCAGGAGGATATCATGTAGTCCACGTTGATTGTTGACTGCAGAAGCCTGATTGCTGAGTGTGGGATCACCAACATCTTGATCCCAAACTTTGACGGAAGGTAATAGCTGCGCGGACTTCTTGGCTAACTTGAGCCAAGGTGAGGACTAGATCGAGGATGACCATTCTTGGTACAACACAGGATGGTTTGGTGAATCTCCTTCGTTAGGATGCTTTTGGGGGTCGCCAGACAATGTACACCTTAAGACCTCTGTTGTACCCAAAAAAAATAAAAAAGGAGTACCTTGTCCACATGCACACTGTGTCATTTTTTTTTATAAAGGTCATGATCTAGAATTGTTCATTCATGTCTGCTACTTTAAGAGCATCCACAATGTTTGAGTTTTTTTATTATTATTTTTGAGGAGTTTTTTAACTGTGATTAGGAAAGAGAATATGAGAAGGAAGAAAAAAAAAAAAAAAAAAAGCACTATCATGTTAGTGCGCCTAAGCGGGCGCGTGCAATCCTTCACGCACAATTTGCAAGGCTGTGCATTTTCTTCTATGGGATCCATGTGTCTGCAAATAACTTCACCTTTGCTGTTGCTCCTCTTTCTTCTCTCTCTTGCATTCTCTCTCCGCCAAATGTGCACGTACTGTTCCAATATCTCCCAAAGATCCACTCATATTCATGCTCTAATGAAGTGAACCAAAGAATTTACAACTACACAATTCAACCTTTGAATGGAGAGTTAAACTGACCTAAAACGAACTATGAGAAAACCTTAGTCACTGTACCATGGAAAATAATTGGTAACTTTTAGGATTGGGGATTCAATATTTTGAGAGAAGGAAAATGATTGGTAAACTCAAAAAGAAAAGATCTTGTGAGCCTAATGAGCCTCATCTAGAAAAAATGTAAGACAAGGCAAGATTATGACATGGTCAAATTGCAAAGAGACGGGTCATTCAAAAACGTACTGCCCTAGCAGTAGGGGAAGGAATGCAAACATTATAACTGGTAGTAGTGGTTCTAAATTGGTAGTTATGTACTAACAATGAAATTGTTTTGGTAGATATGTACTGCATTACTCATTGTGACTATTTTTTCAAACATTGGCAGCTATGTAATGATAATAAAATTATTTTTTGGGTACGAGCGTACGACCGATATTATGTTTTTTTTTTTTTTTTTTTTGCCAAAAATTGAGAATGGTTGTAGCTACTTTGTAATGACCAATTGTATGTATATTTTGTCTACCAATTGATTAACATGATGAAGTAAAGCAAACGTACTTAACATTCTTATTTTCAAACCATAAACTACAATGCATTTCTTCAAAACATTTCTAGGGGTGTGCAAACTTCGGCGAAAATTTGATTAACCGATCGAATTGAAGAATTTCGATTAAATGTTTTTTAACCGAAATACTTCGATTTGATTAATGGTTAGAAGTTTTGTAAAATTTCGGTTAACGGTTATTTCGGTATGAAATTACCGGTTAACTGAATTAACCGAACGGTTAACCAATATTTTAAATATATAAATGAATAAATAAATAATGTAAAATCTCTAAAATTAAAATGAAATTCCTATGGATTATGAGCGTTAGGACTTTGGATTTTGGTTTGAAGTTATGAATTTATTATTATAGGTATTGAAGTAATTGAATTTATTATTATTATTAGGTATTATTTTAAAGATTTAAAAATTTAGCTAAAAAAATTTCGATTAACAGACCGATTAATCGGAAAAAAAAAATTGATTTGATTAATTCGATAATACAAAGTTTGATTCAGTTAACGGTAAATTTTTTATTAAAACTGTTCAGTTAACTGAATGCACACTCCTAAACATTTCATTCCATTAGTAACATTCTTGCAATAGAAAATGCATAGCATAGTTATTCTGATTCATCTTGGTTTTCATCATCCATACCATTCTTAGCAGATTCCCAAGCCATAACTTGTATTCCTTGCATTCCTTGGAGTTCAACATTCAAAATTAAGTATTCCACAAAAACAAAAAATCCACATCCATTTTCATATAACACAAATGAATTACAAGGATGATATTAATTTCTCTAAGCAGAAAAATTTTCAAAATTTAAAGAACCCTAACTTTCAGTTGAGATTCAAATAAATTTCACCCACTCTCACGAATTGTGCATAATGGAACTTCAACGCACATTTACAATACAAAGATGACTCATATTAAGTAACGCGAGATCCACATAGACGTCATTTGTGGCAAAGTAACCAACTGAGAAGGGGATCAACTAACTAATTGGTATAATCGAATAGATTTGACTACTCAAAGGATCGGATCTAATTGCACTTTTTAGATTCAATAGTCTGATTGCATTTTTGTGTTCAATTCGATAGTCAATTTGAACCTTCTTTCATTATTATTTCCACTTTTTATTTCTATTCTTAAGTTTGAAAACTAAACTTAAGAGCCGCATTCTGCATCAAGTTGACTAAAACATCATAGTATTTGCAATCTAGACATCAATTACCTCCTTCTAAAATTGAATTTGCAAAGATTGGGCAACAATTTATGTGCAAAATTCAACACATACAAAACATATAAATAGTCCAATAGTTTTTTTTTTTTTTTTTTTTTTTTGGGGGGGGGGGGGGGGGGGGGGGGGTTGGTTTAAAATACAACTATAATTTCCAAACTGCATATGGCATATCTGCAGGGTCAAGATCATAGCTTTCACAGAGAGATTCTCACAACAAAGATTCCACTTAATGTGATTCCTCTGCAAGTAATTTGGGGATTTTCATGCCAAATCCATGCCCTACTCTTTCAACTCTGTTCAACAATAACATGAGTTAGCAGTTCACATATGCAAACCAATGAAACCTTAAGAAAGATGAAATTTTTAGTATGTTGTCGGAAACAAGAAAAACTTACGTCGGGGCAAGTTTGCCAAGCCCGTCTAGCTCTTCACCAGTTTGCTCGTCAACAACTTTTCCCGATATCTCAACTTGATATGACTTGTTTCTCGTTAGTGGAAGGCCTCGGCTAACAAGCAGATCTAAATCCTTCTCGTGAAGCTCGCGCCCATTCACAAACACCCCGGTGTTCCCAGCAGCACAATTTTTCGGCATGGGGTAATTGAGCTCTTCAATATTCGGCTGCAATTGCAAGGGAATATTGATGATATACCAAATCAAATACAAAACAGATATATCATGACCGAGTTATTAGTTCTTACCAAAATGATTCCTAGACAAGGATGGCCCATCACACCCCAAAACCCCGCTCTGGGGTCATACCTAGTTCGACAATGAAACGAAGTTGTAGTAAGCATTTGTCAAGAGTCCCACATTGAAAAAATAAGAGAGAACATATGGGTTTATAAGGTCATGGGTTAAACTAATTAATTCATTGGATTCAGTCATTTAGTGTGGTTTGGTCCATGTGCATTATAATCCAGTTGAGAATGTAGTACCAGTAATCTCCAGGCTGAATAGGCCCTGCTAACTTTTCCGCCTTTCTAAGAACACGGCCTGGTATAAGTTGCCCATTTACGAACACACTTGATCTCCGGTTTTCGGAATTCTGGCCCGACCTCGATAATTCTCCAAACCCCCTTTTAAAGAGACCGACGATGAAGGATTCGTTCCCCCGTTTACTATTCTGTCGATCTTCCTCCTTGCTTACCTCGGTGGATTCTTGAGAAACACCACCATTTACAAATTCACTCATTGGTATATCTATCTCAGTTGCCACACACGCATCTTTCACAGAATTATGCCGAGAGGTCCACCCGTCGATAATCTTTCGATCTGTAGGTTTGGTTTTAGTTGCCACATCGTCTGAAGAGAGATAATTGTGATGGAGAGGTGAATCGGGGAGTAGTAGAGACTCGTCGTCTTTGATGTGCAGCTCAGCAGAGAAAGAATACTCTTTTCTAGCAATACCACTCCCGGGGCTTTTCTCGTGTTCTGAGAAACTAGATGACAACGAATGAGCCCCGTGCCTTTTCCCGGATTCGCAAAAGGTTGGTTTTGGGCAGATTGGAAACGGTTCCACCTTTGTATCCGGGAACTCGTACTTGAAGTTAGGGTCACCGTAATCGTCAGAGGAGGGGCTAATGCAACCACTAGAGCTTCGAAACCGCTTGTTTGGCATGTCAATCGATTCGTCGACCAGTACTTGTTTAATTTGCGTCGGGGCTGATAAAGCAATGCCCGTGCTACTAAGTTCGAGCAGAATGATGGAAGAACACGCCCCGCATCTTATTTTGTTCTGCTCTTTCCCGACCATCCCAACTTTTTGCGGGAGTTTCAGCAGCTCGAAGCAGTTGTAGCACAGTACGAAAGGGGCACCACCCGCTATAGCTCTACAAACCTTCCCACTACCAATGAACACCTTTCTTGGATGGCGATGAAGACCAAGACCACAATTTTCTCGATTCAAGTCACTCGAACTTCTCGTGAGCCACTTCGTATTAGGATGAATCGAGCCTTCAGAAGTATACCCATTTTTGTGCTGATACAAAATGGGATTGGAAGGGTCATTTCGTGGCCTTCGACCCCCGAAACCAGCAGGTTGGATCCCGGGAGGTACTTCCCGTTTTAGGGTTATGCAGTGCAAACACGAGCACGTGGGATGGTGAAAATGGCTTTCGTGTGGGTGTGACCTAAAGAGATCCGAAGCGAAATCTGAAGGACCGGGACCGGGACCGGGATATTGATCGTGATACATTTGAGTTAAATGCGAATACGAGCGATGAGGAGGCTTTCGGATTATTTCATCTATAAACGCATTTTCATACCCTAGAGTTCCATTCCTAAAGTGCATCGGAGGAGGGTAAGAATCTTGCATCATTGAACCATGTCGACCATTATAAGGAACGCTTACTTGATCATCATATACGTACGGTAAGCCTACACGGTGACCTTGCCCGAGGGGTTGCTTGTTTGCACCAAACGACCCTTGCAAATACGTGTTGTGCCTAGCATAAGGATCAGATGGAATCGGGGCCGTCCTTTGCTCGGTGGCAATTCTCTCTTTAGGCTTCTCTCCAACATCACAATTTCGGCTAAGTTGGTCCTTCAGTTCATCAATCTTCCTTAGCAGCTCCGCTCTATCGTTCTCGAGATTTGCAACTCGAGCAAACCCGTCCAAACCATCGTAGTACTTCCTACGCTCACTAGCAGCATAATACGAGCCCGAGCCATACTTCGAAGGCCCCTCATCCGAATAAGGAAAATCCATAAACCTCACCTGCCTCGCAGCTCGTCTACTAGCATCATCTCCATATGATTCTCCGAACTTTTTCCTCTCCCCACCCCTCCCGTCAATAACAGGCCCAGACCTAAACGACTCCATAGAAGGCCTCGTCTCTTTCGGTTCATTCCCAACACCAGAATCACCACATTCCCGACCATCATCCTGGAGAACCCGATCACCTTTACAAGAATTGTTCTCAAGAACCGAAATCGGATCATGGTTCCTAGACAAAGATTCTTTATTCTCTGATCCCACCTCATCAGTTTCACAAACACTTCCTAAACCCATATCAATTCCCCCTTTACTAGAAACCCCTCTATTATTCTCAACATCAGAAATCTCTGGGATTCCATCCTCCAAAGTCCCTTTCTTTTTCGCTGTAACACCAAAACAAGAACAACCCAAACCTTTAAAATTAACAATAATAACATAAACAAACACATTTTGATTTTAGCTCATAAGTTCACTACATTCACAGCCTTGTCAAAGAAAAAAAATTGGAACTTTACTACACCCTTGACCATAAACACAATCTTTTCATCCATTTGCAGCAACAAAAATGGTAATTAATCCTACCCAGAAAACGAATTCGACAGAAAAAGGTAGCAACTAGGTTAAAATGAAGAACAAGGTTAAAGAATGTCGGTTACCTCTGAGCACGGCGCCGCAACCGCCGCATTGGTAGACGGAGAAATCAGGCAGCTCAGGGAGAAGATTTCCACATTTTGGGCAACGCACTAACCGAACCTTAGAGGAAGAAGAGGTTGAAGCCGAAGCAGAAACCGAAGCTACCTCCATTTCTCAAGATTCTTTCAAGAACCCACCCAGGGATAAAGAATCGCGAGAAGAAACAGAATTCAAGAAGGGACTGTAAAAAGAAAAATAAAAAACAAAAGATTTTGGTTTGTTGAGGAAGTGGAAGTGGTGAAACGGAATGTGATGTCAAGATACAGAGTTTGAAACAGAACATAACGGAAGGAAGCGAACAAAACTGTGTTTTTTCTTTAGGCCTTTTTTTTTTTTTTTTGGGTGTTTTTTTGTTGAGCGAGAAAGTTAGAGAGATAAAAAGTGGGATGTCTGAGAATTCGCGAAACCCGATAAAAGGGGAGGTTTGGATTTGGAGGGAAGGGAGGAATAATGTTTGATTCCCGACAGTTTCTTGCTTTTTTTTTTTTTTTTTTTTTTCAATTTTCACTCTTACTCCTTCAACATTAATATCCCTATTTAATTTTTGAAACTGTGTAGTTACTAAAAGTAAAATTAACTCTATTTTAATTTTAAATTTAATAATATAAAAAAATATTAATAGAAATGTAGAATTAATAAGAAAAGCACTGGTTATCAAAAAATAATAATAATAATAATAATAAGAAAAGTACTGTCAAAAATTTTGTAGTCAGAGGGCATATATGTGACTTTCCCAAATAGGAGGTTACATGTTCGAACTTCAGTAGGTGCATTAACTCTTTGTACCTTCAATACGTTGAGAAAATATGGCAATCAATGGAGATGTGCATTTTAGAGAAATAGTTGAAGGTTATGAATTTTTAGTAACACCTATAGATGTAATGTTTTGGGTAAAATTTATAATCAACATTAACGGATTGATACAGTAATTGTACGAGACATGTTAAATTTAAACCCAATAAAACATAATAAATCAGCATTCTCAATATGGATACAAACATGTTAACAAATGCACGAGTAATTCAATTGTTTAAATAAGATGCTAACGAGTTAAACATGTTGACACGTTAAAATACAAAGGTTAACAAATCAACATGTTAATGATTTGGAAACATATTAAATATAAATACTGACGTATTAATTTCATATCATATTAATTAATAAAACATGTAAAAATTATCAAGTTTAGTTTTGCCGTTACTCATGGTGATTTCCCAATTACTAATTTATGCATGTTTTATTCTCGGTCCTTTTTCCCCCTTTATTCTCTTTTTTTTTTTTTTGAAAGTTTATTCTCTAATATAATAATCTCTTTTTTTTTTCTTTTTTTGCTAGAAAAAAAATAAAAAGCTGGATAAAGCAAATAAAAGAGAAGAATGGGGTATATTGGGTGCTTGTTATAGTCAAAAGAAGTTTGAAAAGGGTGTGCTGTCGTTAAACGGCTCAGTGCTCCTCACTGTAATTTCTTTCTCTTTTTTTAAAAAAAAAAATTATTTTTTTATTTATTATATTTATAAAGTAAAATTGATGCATCCCTTTCAGGGAAGAAAAAGTAAACGGAAGAGTTATCAGTGGTGTCATGGTGTGTATAAGGGTAAAGTTACCATTGAACCCATCCAAGAAAATGGATGAATCATTGATGCCCACTTTCACTTTTTTTTTGACACATCCATTGTTACGCATTTGAAGCATCAAATTATTAAAATTATGTCTCGCAGACTAGTTCAAGTGGTTGATCAATCAACATTTATCAAATGTTTGGTTGGAGAGATTGAATTAAGTGGGAAAAGAATTGTAATTCCATGGAAGAATAAAGTAGTAATTTAAATTTCAGAGTTTGGTTTGCAAGAATAGAATTACTGAGAATTTCAATTTCAATGTTTGATATACATTAAGAATTGAAAGGGAATAAGTAGTATAAAGTCCAACATATTCATACTTCTTCTTCTTCTTCTTCTTCTTCTTCTTCTTCTTATTATTATTATTATTATTATTATTATTATTATTATTATTATTATTATTATTATTAATCCTAAATGACCAAATTAAATTCAAATTTTGTCTTTGAAAATTGATGTAACACCCTGTCAATAAACTCTAGAATCGCATAACAAAAGTAATAAAATAGATAAGGGAATTTTGAGAAAACATATTTCATTGAAGTTGATCTACTGATTAACGTTCTGAGTTGAGAGTAAAATAAGAAGACACACTATAATCGAAAGAGAGTGGTCAAACATAAATTTTAGCTTAAAAAAGTGAGGGGTATACATAGTTTAGCTAGGGCTTTCCTAGGGAGGCTTACTCTGGGTAGAGTGAGCTGATTTTGCCTCAAAACCAATTGATGATAAGTAGGTGAACATTAACCATTTAACCATATCCCTACATGGTAAGTCGCAATGCCACATATCGAATCGAGCAGCTGCTGAACTCGGCCAACCCGGCCGAAGCTCAACAATCCCCCTCCCAACACCTAGCGCAACCTTTGAACACCAAGCTCAGTTGCGCAACATGCCTGACTCGGTCCTTAGCCTACGCGTCATCATCCCCTCCTAGGACTAGACTTGGCCCGACCTGCGCTGCCATCCCATATGGGATTGGATTCGGCTTTCGCCTCGCCATCGATTCTAACCCGTGACATCGGCTCTGATACCAATTGATGAATCTCATCGCTGCATTATGCTTACTACCCAAGGGGTCACCCATCTTGTGACTGTTGTAAGTCAAGCACACTTAACAACAGAGTGTTTTGGCTATCTGGTTGTCATATCCTACTTAAAACCAATTGGTGATAAGTAGGTGGGCATTAACCATTTAATCATATCCCTCCATGGTAAGTCACATCGTCACATCTCGAATCGAACATGGGTTGAACTCGTCCGACACCCAATAGAAATACCAAGGGGGGGGGGGGGGGGGGGGGCATGAGATTCTAATTCCATGAAAATGAGGAAATTTCAATTCCGCAGAATTGCAATTCCCTCCAACCAAATGAAAGAATTTGCTTGCCTTTGGAATTATGTTGGAATTAAGTGGGAATGGATTTGTAATTTCCTCCAACCAAACGCCCCGTTAGGGTGTGTTTGGCTCGAATTTGGGAGCTGGAATAAGAATGGAAATTAAATACTTGGTAATTGGAATGAGTTTTGGTGAATGTATTTTACATATTTGGTAGTATGCTAGAATTTAAATGATTACCAATATTGTTGTTTGTTTATATATAATTGGAATAAAGGTTTTAAAAATACAAAAACAAAAAATCAAGGTAATTGATCCCAATATGATGACATCCAAAGCACAATGATCTTATGTAGTGAGGAGGCGAAAAAATGAGGAGACGATGAAATGGAGGCATAAGATTGAATTAATGGAATGATACCTCATTTAAATTCAACAATAAATTTTTTAATTATATGGGTAATCAAATTCTATACTTGTGTTTTAAAAAGTTGTCAGCCAAACAATGTATATGACTTTTATTCACATCCCTTGTGTCTAACCCCACCAAACACACCCTTAGTCTTGTTTTCAACAGTAGGGTGGAAGTTTGAAGCCCACTGGAAACCTAATGAGTCTTAATAGACTTTGACCATTTAATGGTAGTGAGGGTTCGAACCCCACTCGGAACATAAGGAGTCATTGGGAGACTTTGACCAATAAGTGGTGGTGAAGACCGAAAATTAAAGAGCAAACTCCCATTTTAGTCTCAATATTGTTACATTATCACATTTAATCATATTCTTTTAATTTTGTCTAATTATATCTTAACTTTTATTTGTTAGTCATTTATTTAAATTTTCATCATTCAACCGTTTAGTAAAAAATGGTTATCATGTAAAAAAAAAAAAAAATTGGTGCAATTAGAGGGCCTCCAGCCCCCCGCTAAGAGATTCTACGAGTCATGGCTCCGCTGGCATTAGCTTGAAGGAGACCACTAGCTCAATCAGGTGGATCATCCAGGAGCGAAGTCCCTCATATTTTGACCTAAATTGGCTAGTTTGTCTATACGCTTGTTGCCTTCCCTCCAAATATGGACCACATTGACCATTCTCAAGCTCACAATAGGAATCTTAGATTCGGTTACCATGACATCGAGACAATGGTTGTTCAGATTGTCCCCAGTAACAATCTTGACCACCGCCTCGGAATCCATCTCCACGATCACCTTGTCCCAACTTCTCGCTTTAGCAAGTCAGAGACTCTCTCATAACCCCCACAATTCAGCTAGAAGCTGCTAGAGATACTAATGTTAACTGTAAACCCCACGAGCCAAGTACCGTGATATGATGATCCCGGACCAATCCACCAGCCCGCACAAGCCCAACCAGACAAACTCTTCTTAGCCCCATTAGAATTAACCTTAATCAAACCCTTATCCAGAGGAGACCGTCTCACCCAATTCACTTTCCCTTTCTCAAAAAGGTTGGCACACCTAAGAAGGGAATTCGAATCGTGGACTAGTCTTGTAACTCTCTGAATCATAATAGTTATGTTGATGACCAAAAGTGAAATTTGCTCAAAATTAAATTATGTCAATTTTTAAATTTTTTTATCTTCTCATATTTTTCTAACAAAATGAGATTTAAAATATAAGAAAATGATATTTTTAGTCCTTAATTATAGAAAATAGTTGGCTTAATCCTCTAATTATTGGAGCCTCAGTATTTAGCCCCTTAATTAATAAATTATTATCCTGATGGAGGATATAATTTATCGGTGACATAACCGATTAAATATCAACATTTACTCCTCAAAGTTCTAACTCCATAGGGATTACTTTTGTATTTTCTCACCTTTCTCATTTTTTCCCTCTAATTGAGGAGCAAATTTTGACACTGAAAGTTGATGACTATATTAGCCACTAAAATGATAATTGAATAACTAAATATGGGGTTCTTATAATTGCTAGACTAATTAGTTAACTATTTCTCTATAATTAGGGAACTAAAAGTGTGCCAAGCACCTTATACTCATATGGCATGTAGTGACCTCTCTCACGTGGGATGTCAGGAGATCGAGCCTCAATGGAGGTGTTGTTGACTCTTTGTGCTTCATTGGGTTGAGAGAGTATGTTAGAACAGATACTACAACTCTTTGTGCTTCATTAGGTTGAGAAGTATATTAGAACAGATACTACAACGTCAATGGAGGTGTTGTTGACTCTTTGTGCTTCATTGGGTTGAGAGAGTATGTTAGAACAGATACTACAACTCTTTGTGCTTCATTAGAACAGATACTACAACGTCAATGGAGGTGTTGTTGACTCTTTGTGCTTCATTGGGTTGAGAGAGTATGTTAGAACAGATACTACAACTCTTTGTGCTTCATTAGATTGAGAAGTATATTAGAA